AGCACGAAGGCCACGGCCAGGATGGCCACCCCCAGCACGCCGGCCACGATCTCCGCGATCTCCTCGGGGCCCACGGCCCACTGCGTGGGCACGATGGCCGGGGTGATGATGGGCTGCGTGCAGTAGTGCCCCTGGTAGTCCGCCGGGCAGATGCAGCGGACGGAGCCCTGGCTGCTGACGCAGCGCCCGTCGTTCCGGCACGGGTTGTCTGGGCACTCCTCGGCCAGCTTTTCACACCTGTGGGGAGGAGAGGAGGGAGGCAACCACCGTCAGCATGGAAAGGCAGGTAAGTGTTTCATCCTGGTCAGCGGGCCATCCTGGTCTGCTCTCCTTCCCTTGCTGGATCTGTGCTACCTGCCTCTCCTGGAGAAGGATGACCGTGATCCCTCAGGATGAAATGACACTTTTCAGGACACCATGTTTACCAGAATGCTTCTGGTTTTCAGCCACATGCAGCAAATTAACATGGGGAGGGGCTTCCTGCCTCAAAGCAGTATTTGGAGTTTCTACTGCTAACATTGAATCAGGAGATGCTGTTGTCCTGTTAAATTAGGGAGTCCAGGATCACTCTGAGATATGAGACTTCACAGAGGTTATCACATGTCCTCCAGGCTCTGTGGGGTATCAGGGTGATCTGGGGATGTCTGCAGGTTGCAGCAAACATTTGGGGAACGTTTAGCCTGAGAAGGGGTGAGTGGGCATCCTTGTTGGAGAGGCTATTTTAGCTTTTTTTTTTTTTATGGAGCATCTGCAGACCTGAGACCTAAACGTTCCTCAACAGTACAGGGACCTTTCCTTCCAATAGTAATTATCTCCCTGTCATGGGGGATACACAATACTTTCTTGGCTTTCCTTCTGTCTTTTCTTGTTACTGAACAAACTCTGTGAGGTTTGGGCTCGAGCTGGTGTGTTCAACCTGTACCACAGGCTGGACAAGGGATGTTTTTGGATATTACACTGCCACCTCATGCTCAGCTATGTGCTTTTATTCCACGAGTTGCACCAATAGTTTCTGACTTTGCATTGGTTCAAAAGACCAGTGCTCATCCTGGCTAAATGGCTCAGGCAGCAGCATGAGGTAGGGGTGAGGCTGTTGGAGCTTGTGCTGGGCATCTCTCCCCAGGTTGGGCTGGAGGCAGGGCAAGGGGTTTGGAGAGGGGCTGTGTGGCTGAGGTGGGTAATGCTGAGCAGCAAAGCAGCTTCTGGGCCTCAGTTAGTTCTCTTGCTGGAGGTATTTAACAGGCTGCCCAGGGAAGTGGTTGAATGACCATCCCTGGAAGTATTTAGAAGGTGTGTAAATGTGCTGCTTAGTGGTGGACTTGGTAGTGCTGAACTTGATGACTTTAAGGTCTTCTCCAACCTAAATGGGTTAATATTTGGCAAGTATTCTCTATTTCATATATAGAGAAGTATCAAAGCTGTAATACTGATAGTGAGAACTTCCAAGTGATGGGCACCATAGGGTTCAGGGCCAAAGCCAAACACTGATACTCTGTGATAGCAGGGATCTTCAGGCTACCTGACACAAGATGAGGAACAGCATCCTGCACCTGCTTTTCACTGTAGCCACTATCCTGAGCTGAGCTTTGAATTGGACGAATTGTGCCTGTGATGGAAATTCCCCTTGGGTGAACCCTGCAGAGCTTGTCCTGGGCAGAAACAGCCCCTTTAGCACCCAAGATGGGTGTCCCAGCTACTGAAGGACAGGTCAGCTTGCAACTGTGCTAGCCAGCATCCCCCCAGCCTTGGGACATCCTTCTGCCACCCAGGGCAGTGCTATCAGGTTGCCCCCACCGCAGCCAAGCTCAGCTCACGCTGTGGCAGGAGCAACATGGGGGGAGAAACTCTTCCCTGGGCAAGGAGTGGCTTTTAACCTGCTCCAAGCATGGCATCTGGGAGGAGAGGAGACGAGACTTGTCTTTTTTTTTTCCCCTCCTACTCAGAGGAGACGGGCACAGCGGGGCAATGACCACACGATGGCAGAGCTGGCTGTCCTGGTCTGCTCAGCTCTGCCCTGGGACACTTCCACGCTGTGATGCTCAGGGATGTGCAATTTACAATTAATTCCAGAGTGTCTGGATAAGATGAGCTCCAGAAATGTGCAGAGATGACCCATCCCAAAGTGTCCCCAGACCTTACCTTTCGCCCAGGTACCAGTCAGGGCAGTGGCAGGAGTAGCCAGTGGCAGAGAGGGTGCAGGTTCCCCCATGCAGGCAGGGTTTGGAGTCGCAGGGACTGTCCCCCAGCTCACAGCGATCACCAGAAAACAGCCCGGGGCAGATACACGTGTAACCTGGAGAGGGTGAGAGTGTGTTATACACAGACCATATCCCTATGGAAGTACTAGCAAGAGCAGGGACAAGCAGTGCCTGGTGCTGATGGCACCCATGGAGGGCTCAAGCTAGCCACCTGAACAGGTATTGCTGCTGCAGCAGGTGCTGTGGGACACCCAAGCCATCCATGGATAGCTGGTGGGTACGCTGCAGGACCTGGAGAAGTTGCTGGGTGGGTGGGTGGTCTCTGGGGCAACACAATGACACTAGGGAGATATTCAAGCAACATGTTAAGCCTGTTGTCTCCTGCCACAGACCCTCTCCTGCCCCAGACCCTCTCCTGCCTGGGATGCATTCAGGGCACAGCTGTATTGCGTGGATAAGCTGGGGGACAAATTCGGGTTCAGGGGAGGGAAGGCTGGCTGGCTGATTCACAGCTTCTGACTCTGCTAAGTGCAATCCTCTGTGACTTATTGTTCTCTGAAGTCTTTGGTCCTGCGAGTTCTTGTGGTATGAAGTGCCTGTCTCAACATGCAGAGTTTCTCTTGCCTACAGGAGGTGTCTGCTTGTAGCCAGAGAGAAACCCAGCATAGCTGAGGACTCAGAGGGGGCTGCTGCTCCTTGGATTTTTGGCTGCTGTTAAGTATAGCCCTAAGCATGGGAATGTCCTTGGCTATGCTGAGCTCCTGCTAGTCACTCAGCTGGTGGTGCCATGTGGGAAATTCAGAGTTTCCACCTTAAAACACACTTGAAAAGTCTTTGTGACTAGTCCACAAGCTAAACAACCAGGCATTAGAGTGAAGAAGTGTAGACCTGTTTCCACACGCATGTTAGAGGGACGTGCTGGTGCTCGTGCAGCAGGTGCTGGACGTTGCCTGTAGGGCAGCGTGTGCCCAAACACGCGTGTTCCTGGATGGAGGGCTTCACATGTAGTTGGCCCTGTGGTCCTGAGCGCTGTGGTTGGTGTGGTGGCTGGTCTGGCTTTGGCCCTTCCCACTCAGATGAGTTCTCACGCGGCCACGTGGCTTACCCGGGCTCGCTCGCCCAGACGTGTCTGTGCCTGTGCCTGTAATCCCACGCCTGAGATCCTGAGCAGAGCTTGGCATGAACTCGTGCTGCATGCCCGTGGTCTACAGGCCGAGCCCACGAGGCTCAAGGCAGCCAAGCTCCCAGGGTAACCTCACAAACTAAATGTCTCTTGAGCAACCCCTTCCCTGCAGCAGGTTCTGCCTGGAGCCGTGTCACAGAGGCTCCTTGCTAAGCAGTTGGGACATTTGCAGGAAAAGTTGGTTGCCTTGGAAAGAAACTCTGGGAAGGGCACAGTGATTATTAGTGAGGGAGTGATTTTTCTTCCTCCTTCTCCCACTGCATACTCTCTGCAAAGCAAAAAGGTGGTGCCTTGACTTAGAGCAGCAGTGAGTTTCCACTTTATGGGCTTGGAGCACCTTGCAGCTCAGCCAGAGGTGTTTTCTGAGTGGAGGGTCTCAATGGTAAGGCTGAAGCATGAGTGCCAGCCTGAACTGTCCAGGACAGATGCACCTCGTGTCAAACAAGTTCACCTGAACCAGGCAGCTGCTGAGTCGACAGGGCTGGGAATCTTGTTCCCAGAGGCTGCAGGCAGGGCAGGAGGAGGTGTGCTCCCTCCTCCATCCTCACTTGTTGGGCAGGGTGTGGGCTTTGGCAGTGGCCCCAAAGAGCACAGAGCTGCAGGAGGAGCTTCTCCCCCCCACAGCAGCCTGGAAAGCACCCCTCTGCCCCAGGGACAGGCCAAAGCATGGGCAGTATCTCGATAGATGAGGTGTCATGGTACTGTCCTGGAAGCCAGGACATGGGTGTAGGGCAGTGACACAAAGGTAGATGTCCCTGATAGCAGCTCCTCCCCTTGAGGCCATGCACACTAGCCCTGTCCCTGTGACACAGCTTGCTGCAGGGACCACATGGGAGGGACAGGGCAGCGATGAGACTGTCTTGGGCAGAGCCTGGTATCAAACCTCTGTTGAACACATGCATCCCACGTTAGCCTGCGACTCTTGGATTTGTGCTTACGGTTTTCCATATCCCTTCCTGTAGCCCTGAGGAATCACCAACTGTAGTGGGAATAGACCAAAATCTTGGCTTGTTTCTGCCCAGATACCATCGCTGCCTGATGCCATCTTGTCTGATTCCAGCCTTGCTAATGGCTCCTTAAGCAAAGAGGATGCAGAGGGGTGGGTGGAATTTCTATTTGCATTTGAGTTTTTGGCAATGCTCTGTTCTCCCAGGTCATGCACACTCCCTAGAAACAGCCTCCTGCCCTGCGGGCCACGGGCTGCCGGTGAGAGCCAGGATGATGATCTCATACCCCCCAGCTGCTGCCACACTGAGTCAGCTCTCACCTGAGGTCCCCTGGGACCAGGGACCTCTGGTTCCCCCGTGGAGGATCCCCTCACATAGGGGTGAGTGGGGAGGTCGCATCTTTCCCTCCTCTCACTGCTTATCGCCCGGCGTGGGATGCTCACGTACCTCCTCCGTGGGTTTCGGAGCACATCCCGTTGTTGAGGCAGGGGCTGCTGCTGCAGGCGCCGGCGGGGGAGCAGCACTGCTTTATCCCCACCTCCTCCACCACCTCCTTCGATTGCCCCTTCCCGGGCAGGAGAACCACTTCTCTGCCGTTGATGGCAACCACGTCCAGGCAGCCCCTGAAGCCCCGCGTGACTCTCTGGGACTGCAGCGGCTGCCGGAGCCCCCCAAAAATCAGGTCTCGTCTGCCCCGGGAGAGGCTGCAGGTCCCGGGCAGCTGGAGAGAGGCGTTCCCCAGGCCGTCGATGAGCAGGCGCACGGACGTGTTCTTCACCTCCAGGAAGACTGAGTGCCACTCGCCGTCGCTCACGGCCCGTGAGGAGGACAGGTTCCCACGCGAGTGCCCCCGGCAGCGGTACCCGAGTTGGGGCACTCCGTTAACCATCTGCAAAATACACCCCAAAAGCCAGATTAGCTGTGATCTGGGTGGCTGCTGCTCATGGAGGCTTTCAGCACTTCTAGTGCTGCTTGTTCCCTTCTCTCCCTGCCTCAGCACTGAGAGTCAAGATGAATCCCAGCTTTCAGACTCCAGGAATTACCAGATAGGCAAATGCAGCCCCTCTCACCCCTATCAAGCTACACGTGGAGCTGTTAAAGCCTGTTTAAGTGACTGCAGCATCCTTTATTTTGCAAAACATCATGTGTCTGGCACAGCTTTGCCCATGGTCCTTCCCTGCAACCTTTGACCAGTGTCCAGGGAGGGAAGCTCACCTTTCCACATAAAGGGGTGCAGAGCAATGTGATCATACTCCTGCAGCTGCATGTCTCTTCTCCCCTTTCCTGAGCCTAATCAGAGCCCTTGTTTTCAGTCTGTCTGTAACTCCCATCACCAGTCACAGGTGGACTCTCATTCTAGGCCATCTGGCCTGTATTCTGTTCTCACTGCCTCATTAGTGGTGGGGAAGGTGCTGGAGCAGTTGCCCCTTTGGCATGGCTGAGGGTGCTGGCAGGACATTAAGGTGGAGCACTGTCAGCTTTCTCTGGTGGAGGAAAGGAAGAGTTGGGAGACAGAGAAAGACAGATTTACTGTTGTACCCAGCTCCTAACCAGCATGCTGGGAAGCCAGGCCAAAGCTGCTGGTAGGTCGTGCAATCCAATCCTTGATCTCCAGCAGATGAGAGGGAGACAAGATACTGAGCTGCTAAAACTGAACTACACCAGTGTCTTCTGCATTGAACTGGGACATCAGAAATTCCTGTTTGTGGCCCAAGATTCATCTTCAAAGCTCATATGGAGGAGGGAGAAAGGAAAGGTTAGCTGTGTTGTTTCAGGGTGAAGTCAGGAGTAAATCTCTTTCACCTCTCTTTGTTGATAAAACCTCTCTGTCACAGAAGCCAAGAGCCTCTGCAGAAGAAAAGAGATGTAACAGAACAGTCATGGAAAACCTGCAGGCTTGCTATGTAACACCAAGCCATTCATCCCAGGCAGAAGAGATTTCCATGGAGGGCATTAGACAGTGGGGAGTGGTAATGCGTGGAAGAGGCTAGAAGAGGAGGAATCATTATGGGCTACACTGAACTCTAGATGAGCCTATGTATGACATGATGGGGCTACTCCAGAGGGGTCAAAAGCAGAGCAACCGATAACTCTTGGAGAAGCCCATTGTATAAATGTCAGCTGAAGGAGATGGCAGCTGCTGAGGGAAGAACTGGATGCAGCTGGCACATGCCATGGAAGGGCCTCAGGGCAATGTGTGTAAATCTCTTTGCACAATTGGCAAACACACCAGAGAACTTTGTCAATTCACTTTATCTGGAGAAACATGACTTCATTTCAGATGGGCTTGTAGATTTGGCTTATCAATTTCTGGGGCTCAGAGACAGCTGAGAACTTGATTCCCTGGAGCAAGAACTGGCAGTTGTTTCTAGCTTGCCTGGTTTGCCACCCTCCTGCTGCAACCTATTTCTGAACATCAGGAGAGTTTGGTGATTGAAAGGGCAATGATATGCATGCCCTTGGGAGAACCTGTCCTCTTCACCAAATCTACATACTACTGGTTATGATTCTTATATTCCATATTATTGGGGGTGCTGGAGCCCTGGAACAGGCTGCCCAAAGAGCTTGTGGAGTCTTTCTCTGGAGACATTCAAAACCTGCCTGGATGTGATGCTCAGCAACCTGTTCTGAGTGACCCTGCTTTGGCAGGTGGGTTGGACTAGATGATCTACGAAGCTCAACCCCTACATTCTGTAATTCTGTTGCATCTTCCGTCTGTGATTCCTTTCCCCAAAACAATAAGTTTTTTACTTTGGGACGTACCTCCAAAGTGGCCTGGTCTGTGCCGATTGCATCTTCCTTCTGTGATTCCTTTCCCCAAAACAGTAAGTTTTTTACTTTGGGAAGAGGTCCCTGTGCACTGCAACACCTACCTCCAAAGTGGCCTGGTCTGTGCCGTTAGCATGGAACACCACTGCGTTCAGCTGGTGGGTCTTTAGGCGAAAGTGCATGTGCCAGGAGCCGACCTGCGAGTGCTGGTACCAAATGTAGCTGTGGCCTCCAAACCTCACCGCTGTTCCTGCAAGGAGAATGAGCAAAAGGTCTCAGCTTTGTCACACTTTGAAACTAGGGACTGTATCAAGCCTTCTCTCTTTTTCTAGCCTGACACCATAACTGTCCAGGAGCGGTTTCATCCATGGAAACCCATGTACTGCTGCACTACATCTCCCACGGCTTGCATTTAGAGCTCCCAGTATTTCTTCTATCTGTGCAACTGTAAACAAGCCCTGCAGTAGTAGCCTGGCTAGTTCTGTCCTACAGCACTTTCAGGTGAATTCAGTGTGGTCTTCAAGACCCTTGAATTTCCTCATCCTTAATAAGTCTTTATATTATCCTATGGTATCCCCCTACCATTCATGCTCAAGTGATGCTAACCTCTATCCCCGCTCCCTTTATTTCTTGATGCATTCTAGAGTGAGTATAACAAATGTGCTTTACTTGGCTTTTCTCAAATTTATCAGTCTGTGCTTTGCTGAGAATAAAACAAGAGCTCAGAGATTGAAATTCTCATCGCTGAGCTTCATTACCTGCTAGGTATGAACGACTTTTCCCAAGGAGATAATTGTGTTCTTTTTTAATTCTGTAGTATTTAATAACAGCAACACCTATCTATGTGAAACTTTCAAGCTCTGGGAGTCTGGATTTGTTTTTGAAACTGCAGGCAGAGTTGTTGGTTATTGAGCAACCTAATTCCGTGGAAAATTCAGGTGCTTTATAGAGTACTAAAGGCAAACACAATAGGCCTGGGTTTATAGGGTGAGACACTACCAGGAAGGATTGCTCACCATTGCAAGAGCAGATTTGCTCCAGGCTGTGCCGTGGGGTGAGGACGCTGAGTCGGGCAGTGCTGTAGGTAGACATCATGCCTGGGTCCAGCTGGATGGTTTCCTTGCAGACACGGTGGGCGCAGTCTGACCCGTGACAGGGTACGTGAATTGCCTTCTTCATCCGGAGCCCCACCAGTTGGTCCATCTCCCCAGCTGACACAGTGATCTTGTTGGCGAGGACCCGAGGCTCGTACAAGGAGCCGTGCGGCTCTCCAACAGCCAAGAGCAGGTCCACTCCGTCAGAGGCAGCTGCGGGCTGTAAGCTGGCCATGTGGATGTTCTGGCGCCGGGTGACAAGGACGTTTCCCAGAAATCTCTGTAAGTTGCGCCAATGGTCCCCCACAAACTCCTCGGGGGAGAGGTGGCGGAAGTGCAGCACCACCGCCTTGTCCAAGGCCTCCTGCGTGAAGCACCACACGTGGACGTTGACGCTGGTGGTGGCCGTGAACGTGCCGTCGCTGACTGTCACGTTCAGGAGATAGTGGCCGTGAGGAAGCTTGTCCCCAGCAATGATCTTCCCGTCTGCAGCCCCAACGGAGAAGAGCCCTTCCTGGGGCAGTTGTGCCACCAAAGTGTACACCAGTGTGTCGTGGGGGTCTCGGTCCGTGGCGTGGATCTTGCCCAGAACACCCCCTCGGAAAGCTTCCTCGTTGGTGGTGATGAATATTTCCAGGGGGAGGGCTGAGGGGGCGTACTGGCTCTGCTCAGTCACTTGGATGTTTATAAATGCAGATGAGGACAGGGGAGGGATACCGCTGTCAGAGACCTGCCGGGGAAAAGAGAAAGATCCATTAGAGCCACATGCTGACCTGTGTCACCCAACTGGATGGGTTGATAAGGTCTTGCAAAGGAGAGTGCCTTGCAGGTAGCAAGGGGTGGAAGCTGTTGGGCAGCAGGCTGGGAATGAAGAAGGAATAGGAAAAACTGGCAGCAGTGTTGGACCTCTGTCTGGAGAGGTCAACACATTTGCTGACCTTCCAGACTTTAAGTCTGTCACCCACCTCTGACAATGTCTGTCTAGCACGAATCAAGGAATCTCAAAATAGAAAAATGTGAATAATCAGATTATAGCCTAGGATTCTGCCTAATCTTAGGCTGTTAGTGGTTGAGGTCTATAATATCATAGCTGGCTTTTAGAACAACTGTCATTACTGAAGAGGTATGTATTTTGCATGTTATTATCCTTTTGTTTGTGATGGACTGTCTCTACTGATAACATTGGGGATTAATTAACTCTGCAACAATAGAAATTGTCTTGGAAGAGGAACTTAAATCACAAGGATAATTAGATAAATCTTATAGGTCTGGGTCCAGGTCCCACTTTAAACTGGAAGTTACCAGAATTATGCTGGGAAAAGCAGCTAAGGAAACTGCTGACGCAGTATTTTTCTTGATCATATCTGATTTTTATCAATGCAGAAGCTGTCCCTCAGCTTCTTGTGTGCAGACTGGGTGGAGAAATGAGCTCCAGAGCTGGCTTCAAGCTGCACAATTTGTGCTGGATGGAATTTCTCCAAAGCCAGAGATGTTACTGTTCAGCTGTGCTGTCCTAATCTTATTTTGTTGCTACTTAATCTGGCTGGGGAATTCAGATACCAGGACAGTAAGTCAGGCTCTACCTGGACTTGTAATAGGTACTGTTCTTTAATTCTTCGGTTCAGGATGGATGATGTCACCAGCAGACCACTTTGGGTGACGTTAAAAGCCTTCCCATCGTTGCCCTGGGTGATCTGGAATGAATATGGTGGTCCATTTTCTGGGGAGTCTCTGTCACTCATAATCAGCTCCAGGACGCTGGTACCCACGGGAGCATTCTCCTGAAATGGGGAAAGATGAGTGGAGGAAGGCAAGCAAAGAGAAAAGGCCTGGGGCAACCCCCAGTGTCCCTAGAGCTGCTGGATCAGGAACAGAGAACCAAATCCCATGCCCCACGTGCATCTCTAGTGCTCACAAACTGAGACTTTGTGGCTATGAGCACAAAGCAACAGCAGGCTTCATTGCTGTCTCTGCTCCAACAGCAGCCCATGCATGACTTAGTATCCTAGAGGTGGACTGGGAGAACAAGTTGCCTCCTGGCTTACCTGCACCACCACGCTGTAGTTGAGCTGGAAGAACCGAGGAGGGTTGTCATTGACATCAGAGACATGGACATGCACAGCGACGTCACTGGACTGAGGAGGGTGGCCGTTGTCTGTGGCTCGAACTGTCAGGGAATAACTGGGGATCTGGAGGATTTGTAGTACATGATTACTTGGAGAAATGGTGGATTTTTCACATTGCTGCTTTCCTCTGCTGCAGCTTGTTGAAATGCCTGAGGCCATGTGTTGCAGCAGGACAATAGCTCTGGCCTTGGCTAAAGCTCTCTATCCATAAGCCTCAAAGCACATCTGCACAGAGGTTGCAGAGAAGGGAAATAACTTGCCAAAAATAGATGAGACCAAGCTGGGCAAACATCTATCATGTGGTGGTTTGAGGTGCTACTTTTTTATGAACGATGTTGTCCAGATGACCTTTCCACCTCCTCCCCATACCTGTTCTCTATAATGCTCTGATGCAGAGAAGCAGATATCAACTGTATGGGTTTCCAGTTTGGTGCTCTCACTTAGCCAGTTTGAGGCACCAGTGGAGCAGACCAAAACCCAGAGTTGTGACTGCTGAAGGCTCTATTGCCTTCCCTAATGTCCAGCCTTCCTACAGCAGTAGCTATGGGTCTAGAAAATGAATGAATGAAAGACTTGCCTTCTGCTTACAGTATTATGAGTAGATCATGCAGAAAATAGGAGGCAGCTGAATATCCTCAGTTCCCTCAGTCTTTTGGGATACATTTAGTTTAGCCTTCCTGTTCCCAGTTTCCTGAACTCACCTCCTCCCTGTCTAGATGCTTGGCGATGCTGATCTGCCCACTTCTGGGTTGAATGGTGAAGTGTCCCAGTGGGTTCCCTTCCACAATTGAATATGTGATCTGATTGTTCATTGCTCCATCCAAGTCATCAGCTGACACCTGTTGGGAGGAAAAAAAAAAAAGCTAGGACTTCTGGCCAAAAAAGGCCTTGCCATGGAGGAATGGGGGCAGGACCTCCTTGTAGTTTTAGGGTCTTGGTTTGAGCTTGCCTCAAATAAGGAGGAAGAAGGAAGGTGGTTTACCTAAGTGTCTTTCATTAGTTTTTTCAGGGCAAAACACCACAGAGCTGCAACAATGGCTTTCTCCGTGTCCCTTTCCTGACTTTATCATCCCTGTGACTGTTAAGACTGGCTGGTCAGGGAACTCCACCTGGAAATGCCTTGAGCTCTGCTGTTCTGCCTAGGGAACCCTCTATTTTCCATAGGTTCCAAGGTATTGACCTACTACAGGCATTTTAGCTCTCTTGTGAGGTCCCCAAAGCTCTTGAGCCCCCCTTAGGTAACTCAAGCTTTTGCTTAGAGATGTCTTACAAGACAAAGCATTCACCCCGTCTATGGAATGTCAGGAATTCGGGCAATCATCCTTTTTTAAAGTCATGGTTAATTGTTAGAAATTGAATGTCACAAACCCACTGAGGTGGCACTGTCCAAGGAAAAGTCAAGTATAAAAGAAGAGTAAATAATGCATAGCACAAGGGGAACAACAGGTGAAGACAGCTGGCTTGCTTCATAGTCATACCGTGAGGATGATTTCTCCAACCGCAGCATCCTCCTGGATATCAGCGACGTAGGGGTCTTGAATGAACTCTGGTGCGTGGTCGTTGATGTCAGTGATGTTGATCACCACCATGGTCACATCACTGAGAGAAGCTGAGCCTTTCCTTGTGCCTTCAATGGACAAGTAATACTCATGACTCGCTTCAAAGTCCAAGCTTCCATTTATGTATAAGGTACCTGTGTTGGCAGATGGGCAGAAAAGGACAGAAGATAGTTTGAATGAATGGCACGTGAGGTTTCTTGCAATGCTGGAGATATACCAAACTGCCAGCTAAAAAGGTGCTGTTGACCTAACATCAACCTTCTCTGATTAAATCAGGATACTGAAGGTCATGGCATCACATAAAACAAACTATAATTGAACTGATTCTGCCATAACCTGCCTCATTCTGGTATCAAGTGTTTGAAGAGGTGAAATAAACTTTCATTCTGGAAGGTCTCCATGAGTCTTGATTGGAGGAGATCTGGGACAAAATAGGATGACTCCAACAGTGCTGTTGAAAGCTGTGGCCAAGGCAGTAGTAGAACATCACTGAACTGTGTTGTAGGCAGGATGAAAAGGTCCAAGATATAGAACTTTACAGGGAAAAATGGTGTGCAGTGGGATGCTGTGATTTATTTTTTAAGTGAGGGTACCACATAGAAGGAGGAGGCGGCTGTTAATCTCAAAAAATAAATGAGGGACATGAACATAAAGTGAAAGTGGGGAGCGGAGGGAGAGAGAGAGAGACAGATATACCTGTGGACTTCAGTGCTTTCCTGGGTCCAGCACTGAACCTATCACACAGTTGTTCCCTGGAGATGGCAATGTTGTGTGTCTCTTAAGATATACAAATTGGTAAGAAGATTGGCATGCAAAAGTTAGTAAGAGCCTTGGGAACAGAGAAGAGGAGGAGGAGGCTGTTAATCTCAAAAAATAAGTGAGGGACATTAACATAAAGTGAAAGTAGGCGGCGGAGAGAGAGAGAGAGAGAGAGAGACCTGTGGACTTCAGTGCTTTCCTGGGTCCAGCACTGAACCTATCACACAGTTGTTCCCTGGAGATGGCAATGTTGTGTGTCTCTTAAGATATACAAATTGGTAAGAAGATTGGCATGCAAAAGTTAGTAAGAGCCTTGGGAACAGAGAAGCTGAGGAAGGTGATATGGACAAGGATGTTGCTGCTGAGGGCAGAAAGCTGTTGATGATGCAGCCAAGGGCTTGTTTCATGGAGTTAATGTTGGCCCCTGATAAGAGCTCTCATCAGATTGCTGTGCAAACAGAGCAGTGCTTGATTTGGCTACTGAACCTGGCTCAACACTTGCTCCTGCTTTACAGATTGGTATTAGCCATGTGCATTCAGTGCTACCTAATAAAGGTGCCTGTTACCCTGGGCTGCAGGTTCCTTCTGAGGTCAGGATGGAGAGACTTTTTAAATGAAACCACCTTCTTCTGCATTTTGAAGTGGAAAAATTTCCCCCTCCTGTTCTCCATGTATTCCTCATTCCCATGGACCTGTCTCAGGTCCTAGACAACAGGAATCTTTCCATTAATTTCAGTAGGATTTGGAGCCCTCCTTAAGTGACTTAGCTGGCAAAATTTAGGGAAGATGATCAGATTGTAGTCCTTATTCTTGTGCTGATTACAGAGAGCGGAGTCACAAGGCAAATGGAGAACCAGAGAACTGCATACAAGGACAACCTTTGATGTTGGGTTAAGCTGGACATGCTTTGGCATGAGATCATCTCACCTGTGTTTGAGTTGAGCTGAAACTTCCCATGGTCATTGCCATTCACAATTTCATACTTGATCTCTGTGTTTTCTGCATTGTCCCGTGTCAAGGCTGACAAGTTGAGCACCTCCGTACCCACGGCCACATCTTCTTTTACCATGGCCACATATTCAGGGGCCAGGAAAACGGGCAGATATTCATTTAGATCCACAACGGAGACAGTGACCGTGCCAAGAGCTGAGAGGGGCTCGGGGGTGCCCCGGTCAGTGGCACAGACTGTCAGCTCAAACGCCGAATGCTGCGAATCCTTCAGAGGCTTTTCCAGACGGATCACCCCTGTGGTTTCCTCAATTGAGAAGTGTCCATTGGCAGAGTCAGACAGAGAATAGACCACCTCAGCATTGAGACCTGGAACAATAAGGGGCAGGCTGCATTCATTCATGGGTAGGAGGGCTGCTGGTTTTATTTATTTATTAATCCATTAGGACTATGTAGACTTAATGACCTTAAATTCCTAGAGGAAAATGGAGGCTGAATGGACATCAAGTGTGCTGCTTGTCCATCTTTGGTTCAGATATCTAGCCACCCTCACCATCATCCATCAACATCACCTATCTATACTTACTGGTGATTACCATTTTTAATTCCCTTGTTTTTAAATGTAGCTTCCCTTCAGGTCTGCTTCCAAAGTGGATAAATATGACCTTGCTTCCCTGTCAATGTAAATTCAGTATCTGCTGGCAAGGATTATTGAAAGCTCCTTTCTCAGGAGCCTTTACCTACATCTCTGAGAATCTTCACATCTTCAGAAGGACATCTCCATCCATATCATCTACCCCATCAGATCTAAAAGTCCATTTTTCCTTATGTTCATTCTTTACCTTTGATAAAGTTTCTGTCCAGTCTGGATCCCAGGTAAACTGTGTCACAGTTTTCACTGTGCACCATGGTTTTGGTTACTGAGCATGTCCTCAAAGTCTGTCTTTGCGTGTTTCTACAGATATTGCACTTCCCACAGGGTCACAAAAGTGCTGATGCCAGCCTGCTAGTCAGGGGCATGTCAGTCATGAGATCCAGGCACATCTTTGCCAAGATTCCATCATCTATGCTTATTGCTGTAGCCTTTCCCTAAGTTTCAAAGGTTTCTATTCAGGATAAAAGATGAACTCTACTAAAAAGTAAATCCCATTCTGACTCACCTTCATCAAGGTCCCTGGCAGCAACCACAGCAATGGGTGTCTTTGTTGTGGTGTTGTCAAAAACGGCCACGGCGCAGTGACTGGGGAAGAATCTCGGTGCGTTGTCGTTTGTGTCCTCTACGATCAGCGTTATATCTGCCTGGCAGGAACGGCCTCCTCCATCAGTGGCTTTGGCAACGAGGTGGTACGTGGGTTTCTGTTCACGGTCAAGAGGTGCAGATGTTGTCAGTTCCCCTGTTGGGAAGAATAGGAGATGGTCTTGTCTTCTGCAGCTGCAGCCTAGGAGAGCTCAGAGAGGTTCAAGCGTGCTGCCTTCCTGGATGCACCGTGGGAGACAACAGACCTGGTTTGAACACTGTTTGTAATGCAGCTAATAGCAGTGTTGTGTCCACACCACACTGCTTGGGGCTATTCTTGGATGACTGCCAGCCAGTGCCCTGGCAGGACTTGGCACAGGGAATCCTGCAAGTTGGGCTGAACTTCATGCAAGGGATGCCATCATGGGATAAAAGTGCTCATAAATAATTTGTACTTATAAACACCTTTATAAACCCCACTGCACTAAGCTTTCTGCAACATGATGAACCCAAAGTGATCTCTAGAATGATCATCATGTCTCTGGGCAAATATACTGCCCAAGACTCACTAAGATGGTTTTTAGAGTTGGGTCGTTTTACTCGCTTGCTGTTTTTTCCTCCTTGAGCCCTGGCTGTTAGCAATAGTGTCTGCCCTTCATTTTAACAATGCTCATGCCAAGGTTTGCAAAGAAAGCCAACAGGACGACGCAGAGCTCACTCTCCTTTATACCGTGTTGCAACAAACCTGCCTGCTGGCCATCCCCTCCTAGCTTGGGAGAGCTGGAATGAACAGTCCTTTTGTTTGCTCGAGAGAAAATAAATGCTGAGCCACCCTGGGAGCTGGTGTTTCCCAGGAGTGGGTGGGGAAGAGGATAGCAGCATGCCCTTGCCCAGCTCTCACCTGTGTGTGGGCCCAGCCGGAACTCCTCTGCGCCAGGGCCGTGGAGGCTGTACGTTATCTGGGCATTGCTGCCAACGTCAGGGTCAGTTGCTGAGATTTTCAAAATGAAGGCACCCGGTAGAGCATCTTCAGAGACTCTCCCAGTGTAGAATAACTGACAAGGACAGAAGATGTCATTGGCATCTGAACTGTGTTCAAAATACCTTCATCCCGTATGGAGAGGAATGGACTAGCAGAAGCATCAAAGAGAAGGGCAAACCATGTGGTTTATAGGGGAGCACAATGTATGTCCCATTGCTGGCTGCTGGGGTGTGAACTGGGACCAGTGAGCTCATTTCACACAAGCCTCTGAATCTCCTTTGGGAAGCAGCCACGTCTGTTCTTTCACCACAGGTAACATCCATACCAGTGATCAGCTCTCTCCAGTAACAAACCTCCTGATGGGAATCTCTCAGCTTAGCAGGATATAAAACTCAGTAATTTACATGCCCCTACCCAGGAGGCTTCCTGGCATTGTTTATCTCCAAAAATTATCCTTCATAATGTTTAAGCCCTCACTTACTACTGGCAAACATGCTTGGAGGCTAGATTTAATGCTCTTGCTTGACATGCAGCTTAATTAAACTTGCTAAGCATAATCAAAGCAACAGGATTGTGTGAGAAGAATTATGACAAGCCAAACCCTCTTAACATGCTTTCTGCTTGCTCTTCCTTGCTATTGTGTTCTCTCCTTCCCAGCCACTCCCATCACGCCCCCAGTGTCCCAGGACAGACATCTTACCTGGCCACACTCAGGGCTGTTGTCATTGATATCAAGAACATAAATTTCCACTTCAGTGGTAGCCTGAAATTTCCCATCAGAAGCCATAACCTTGAGGAGATATTTCTCTGTATCTTCTCTGTCCAGAGGTTTCTTGGAAGAAATTGTCCATTCACCCTCAATTTGGTTAACTGTGAACTGTCCCATTACATCTCCTTCTAGAAGTGGGCAGGAGGCAAGGAAAAAAGGCATTTACTGAGTGCTAAGAATCAGAAGTGATAAGGAAAGGGGATATAGGTGTGTCCACTGCTGGTCCCTTAGGAGAGCTGGAGGACTTGCAGTGGTGACACAGAGAGCACTGGTGGTGTATCAGGCAGGTGAGACCAAATGCTGGTCTACCTCACTGCACAGCTGAGAACCACCCTGCCTGCTTCTGTTAGTCACTGTCTGCTGATTACCCTGGAAGGAGGAAACAACTCCTGATTGCAAAAACATCTCAGTCATGTTCTGCAGAAGTGCATATTCATTGCCTCAGAACCCCATTGTCTCACCTTCCTAAAACGTGTCAGTCTTTCTTGGTGCGTGTTCCTAAAGGGATCTGAGAGCTGCAAATACCCTGCAGACATTGGTTAGATCTTGTTCTTACAGTACTATATATGGTTGTACTTCCTTCAAACCTATAGAGGTATTTAACATATAGCTGTGCTTTTGGGGGCTACTCTTTGATTCTCTAAGAGCCAAATAATGAGACAGGTAAATCCAGACTGGGCAGGCTCTCCAGTCCACCACACTCATGCTGCTCCTGCTGATATTACACAGAATAGATTTTAAATGAAGTAGATTCTGCCTCTGGAGAATCCTTCTCCTTGGCAAGGAGCTGGTGTCCTCTGCTGAA